GGGTGTTGGGATGGTGATTTATCGAACAATCTCCTTCGAATACCAACAAAGGGCCAACTCCCAAACCGTGACCAGTTCACAATTAAAACAACCCCTTGACAACAAATAAAATGCAGAACACAAAACAACATATGAGACAAGATGTTTGTTGACTCAGTTCGATTATCAACCAATCTACATCCGGGGATTTCAATCCATGAGATATTATACTAATCAGTGCTGATTACAGAGTATAAACAATCACAACTCCTTCAACCCAAACTCCTATCATGGTTTACCTTGGAAAATACCTCACAAGTTCACGTTGCACAAACGCGTACTGACAACGACCATATAGCAGAGCCGCTCATAGTTTGATCATCCTTTCCGGTTGAAACTCCTTTAACTCCGATCACCGTCGACCTCTCCGACGAATTTTTCTGTGAAAAACTAATTCAAACTAGGGAGAATCGATATGGATAGAGCGTTAGAACTTCACTCAATATTCTTCTTTCTAAAGTATGATCTCCAAATCGCTCATCATTAATCTTCAACCATATCCGGTTAAGTAAATCACTCACATTCCTGAAATAAAAGATTCCACATTAATTTCCCTTTGCACCGAAATGGAAGGAGTGAGTTTCCATGTTTTGATCTTTCCTCAAATATGCCTTTTGTCTTTGGAAAGTCTTTGCTGCAGAAATTAAGGCACCATTAGTTCATATGCCAAAATAACTTAGGGGAATTTCCATTCACAGAGGATTTTGGTCTTCGTGCAGGCGATTTGATCGTCGGCTTTGGATTTGATGTCCTCTTTGGACGATTCGAGGCTTTGATCTTTGATTTGGTTTTGCTGCCTTTTAAAGAGCTTTGGTCTCCGTATGGGCGATTTGATCGTCGACTTTGGATTTGATATCCTCTTTGGACGATCCGAGGCTTTGATCTTTAATTTGACTTTTGCCATATTTTGGAGAGCTTTTATCTCCGTATGGGCGATTTGATCATAGACTTTGGATTTGATGTCTTTTTTCGACGATCCGCAACTTTGATCTTTGGTTTGCCTTTTCCGCCTTTTGAAAAGCTTCAATCTCCGTGTAGACGATTTGATCGTCAGCTTTGGATTCAATGGCTTCTTTGGAGGTCTGGAGCTTTGATCTTTGCTTTGGCTTTGCCGCTTTTGGAGGACTTTGGTCTCTGTGTGGGCGATTTGATCATCGGCTTTGGATTTGATGTCTTCTTTAGACGATCCGAGGCTTTGATCTTTGCTTTGTCTTTGGCGCATTTTGGAAAGTTTTGGTCTCCTTGCGGACGATTTGATCCTCAATTTTAGATTTGGTGTATTCTTTTAACGATCCGCGACTTTGATCTTTGCTTTGGTTTTGCCGCTTTTGGAGGACTTTGGTCTCCGTGCGGGCGATTTTGATCCTCAGCTTTGGATTTGATGTCTTCTTTGGACGATCCGCGGCTTTGATCTTTGGTTTGCCTTTTCCGCCTTTTGGAGAGTTTCGGTCTCCGTGTGGGTGATTTGATCATCGGCTTTGGATTTGATGTCTTCTTTGGACGATCCAAAACTTTGATCTTTGCTTTGGGTTTGCCGCATTTCGGAGGGCTTTGGTCTCCGTGTGGGCGATTTGATCGTCGGCTTTAGATTTGATGTCTTCTTTAGATGATCCGATGGTTTGATCTTTGCTTTGTCTTTGCCTCTTTTAGAAGACTTTAGTCTCCGTGCGGGCGATTTGATCCTTAAATTTTGATTTCGATGTCCTCTTTGGACGATTCACGTTTTTGATCTTTGAGGAGGTAGATTTGGTGCTCCATAACACTTTTGGAAGCCGTGTCCCTTTGACTTTTGGATCGAAGAGGGGCTGGTTGATGCTTTTGACGAAGAACTCAACGAACACCCTGAAGCTTTGGGATGAACTTGGGAGGCTCTTCCTTGGCTTTGAAGGATCCTTCAACGGCTTTGGGAGTTTTGATCCTTCCTCTGCTCAGACATACGACGAAGAACGTTAACTCCAACGATTCGTCAACCAATATTGGATCATTTTTCCAAATCAGTGACTTTCGACGAAGAACGCTTCGAAGGACACGAAGAACATGAAGGACAATACAAAGAGAATCTAGAGATTTACCCATTTGCTTGAATCCTCGATGTAACTTCGGTGTCCCAATTGAATTGGCCATGACTCCTATTTATAGGGGAGTGGTAGTCTTGGCTTCCTTTTCGGATGGTGCCACGTGGCGCGTTTTGATTGGTCAATAGGAAGATTTTATAATATTTTCTTTTTCATCAGATGTTGTTTTTCATTCTTCGACGAATTTGATTGTGCACATTTCTTTCTCGTCAAGATCTTTATATCATTGTCATTTTTGGGAATATATTAATTTATATACTTCCTTTATTGACAAGATTAATTTATTTTGGTGCCAAATTTATTATGGCGCTATTTATGCACGTAATATTTGTATGATATCTTCAATTTTAAGTTGATTTTTACATTAATGGTTAATATTTATTGTACAAAAATTAACATATGTGTATAATTAAATAGCATATATTTATTTTATTGGAATTTTATTTTCTTCCAAAATACATGATATTTAATTGAATTTAGACATATATTTTTTATGTCTACACCTACGAATCTCTCAAATAAGACAACTATCATAAATATAATATATTACTTCTAAATATATTTTAACAATATAATGTATTTTATAATAAATTATCTATTGAAAGTTTATATGTATATTCACGGCAAATTTTTAATTTGCCGTGAATATACATATAAACTTTGTGTACATATATTCTAATTCTTTAGTCAATTTTTTCAAAATTTTATTATTTGGATTCTGCATTCTCCGAAAAAAAATGCTGTACATTTTTTTTTTCAAAAAAATATCACATCAAATATTATTTTCATACCAAATTCAAACTAAGTTTTTTTTTCAAACTCATCAAACGAAAGAGACCCTAAATTAATATAAATATAATATAGTAATAAATTAAGTTGGTGGAGAGCAAGTTGGGTGGGACTGTGAGTTGGCAAAAGAAAGCACTATATTATGTATGCAAGAATGAAATTGTGAGCATGTGTATTAATTTATTTTAAAGAGACAAAAATAAAATAAAATAAAATAAAATATCCAAACATTTAAATGTAGGCACCATCCACATCGATCATAAGTATTTAAGTTTAAGCCAGAGAGGATTGTCTCCTACCATGAGACATAAATTTAATCATGCTTCATTTCTTTTTCGAGTGTCATGCATCTATTGGCGTACGTGAAGAGTTTTCGATCGAGCAAATATACAAGTTACACGCGGGCGGTTACGGTGCTGATCATTTTTCTAATAACACAATAATATATATAATTCAATGTACTTCCTCCGTCCACTTATAATGTTTACATATTTTTATTTTGGGGTGTCCAATTACAAAGTTAACATTTCATTAAATACCTTACTTTTTTTCACAAATAGCTTTACTTTACATCACATCATTACGTTTATACAAAAAAGTAAAGGCAAAAATGTCATTACACTACTTTTAACTACTCACTATAATTAAAATACTATTATTTCTTAAACACCGCGCCAAAAGTAAATGTAAACATTGTAAATAGACGGAGGAAGTATTAAATATAAATTTACACTATGCATAGAATATAATTGACAGCACATACTAATACTTTATACAATATGTGAATTTTTTTATATTTTCATATACTATATATAGAATATTTATTTGTTGATTGGAACAATTAATATGATGCTGATAAATCTCCAATCAATATTCTAACAGTGACATTATACCTTATACGTAAACATAGTCTCATTTAATATATATATATATATATTTCACAAGAAAAATATAATATATTGTGTCGACGAATTTTATTACAATGCAATTTAGCTATATATATATATATAGTGATATGATAAAAAAATATAACAAAGTGTTGAAAGATAAAATATGTTTAAATTTAGATTTGGTTATATTTATCAGATTATGTCATTTAGATTTGATTCATCGAGTTTGTTTTATAGTACTTATGTATAGACTTTTTATTTTGATAATCTATAATGCAATTTTCTAATTTCGATAAAGTATTTTAACACAAAGAATTAGTTTTTTTAAGAAGAGCCAAGAATCTCAATGAAGCCAACATATACCTAGGTAATCATTGATCTCGAACCTAATGCAATTTGCTTAATTTTTAGTCTGTTTTGTGTGTGTGTGTGTTTTTTTTTTTTCTTTAATACAAAGTCTTTCTTTTAAGTTTATTTCTTTTGGGTTTTAGATTTTTTAATCTATTGTGTGTTTGTGCGGAGGTTTGGATTTTGAGTTGGGATTTGAATAGTAAAAATTTTGAATTTGAATAGTTGTATATGTGATATAAATAGGGGTTGATGCGATGTTTTGAATGAAAAAATGATTTTGAGTATAATATAAAAAATGAAAAATAGGTGTTTGATTTGAATGGGATAAATAGTATATTTAAAATCCAATGCCCCAGACAACTTGTTTCTTTTCGTATTGGGTCTTCATTTTATTAGTAAAATTATGTTCCTTTTTTTTTTTTTTTTTAATAAGAAAATCTTTCAAGGGTGTGTTTGTTTGAGAGATTTTACAAAAAATTCATTATTCATTCAAAATTTTTTTCCAAAAAATTACATTAAACACCTATTTTTCATTTTCTATATTATTCTAAAAATCAATTTTACATTCAAAACATCACATCAACACCTATTTGTATCACATCATACAACTATTTCAATTCAAAATTTTTAATATTCAAAACCTAACTCAAAATCCAAATCTGCAAACAAAATCGGTGTCAAAATCTGAGGTAGTGGAGAATTGACTAATGAGCACTACTTAATGGCTACTTAGAAATTTTTAGTGATATATCAGTGCTGCACTAACAATGTGCTAAACATTTGTTTCAAATTAATTACAAAGTGATTTTATTAATCTTCACCATATACATACATATATATATATATATAATGTCTTAAAATTGATGTGTTGGTCTATCTGGAATATTAATCATCGAAGCTGCAAGTAAATAATTATAAGGTAATTTGTATTCCATCCTTACTTTCATTCTTTGATCCTCTCTATTAGAATATATATACATATATATATATATATAATATATAAATTCCATCGTCCATTAATAATACATATCCTCTTTGGACATTAGGGTTTTGTTCTAACCATGAAGACAATACTACTTCTGGCATTAATGTTTTCCTTAAGTTTCATGGTTGCTGCCTATGCTGATCAGAAATCACTTTCCAAGTATCGACACATTTTAGTCGATTTTCAGAGGTCCTTTCCATCAAAACAACCATTTCCAGACATATCATCTAACAAGGTATTGAGATATATCTTATAAAATCTAACAAACATAAATTAGTCCATGTCCTGATGTAACATTGCAATAATTAACATATATAACAAGCGACGGCAGCTACAATGTTGAATTTAAAATTCAGTATTGTACTGAACAGCTATCGACGATAAATCATCTATATTAATATAATATAAACATAACATATGATTTAACAGCCCATGATATAGACGCTGACAACATATGCAACAATTGATTTTAGCATATTACATACTTTGATACAACACACGCTGTAATTATGAATAAACATCACGTCTTAATTACAAACAACATATGTTGTGTGTAATAGAGATATGTACTGTTTTTATACTAGATAAATTATATAACACCCCCTTGTGTTTTTTAGTAAAAATGCATAAAAACACCATGTGTTCTATTTATTGTGTGAAACCCTCTTGTGTTATGTAAAATTTGCACGAAACACCCTCATTGTCCAAAACTTATGTTTGGTTCTAAATAAAGATCTAAATTACGCAAATTTTATACAAATAAAAAATAAAAAATATTTTAAATAATTTTTTTCAATAAAATAAATAAGTAATTTCTCAATCATTTATTTTTATAGTTTTTGTAAAAAATTAGATAACAATTTGTCTCAAAAAAATTATAAAATGAGGGAGTAATCAATTATTTATTTATTTATTTATTTTATTTACAAAGGAATATTTAACATATTTTAATTTTTTATTTGTATAAAAAATGAGTAATTTAAGTCTTTATTTAGAACTAAATTACATCAGTTTTGGACAAAAAATAGAGTTTCGTGCAAACTTTATATTAACACAAGAGAGTTTCATGCAATAAATAAAATATAACGTATTTTTGTGCATTTTTATTAAAACACAAGGGGTGATGCTATATAATTTACCATTTTATATTTTACGCGTGCTATTTTGAAATTTCTCAAATCAGCACTTTAACTAACATATCGCCAAAATAGTTGTAATGTTGACGGCACGATCTTGTCGTCATGTCAGCTTCTTCATCATCTCAACACTCAACGCCCATTGACCGATCCGATTTTGTTCAAAAACAAATCACCACAAGCTGGGGCAAATGCATCACCTTAACTAGACCTCGCTATATATGTGATTAATTCTTAATCGTATTATGTTTGTATTTTGTTAGAATCTAGATTTTGATACGATGTTCTATTATTGCATATTCAAATGATGTATGTGAGAATAATGGCTTCATTAGTTGCGTTGTCGAAAAACTACATAATATATAATAAATAGTGTATTTTTGTATTCGAAACTTCAATTTCACTTACAAGTTTAAGCAAACTTGGAACGAGAGACCTATTGTTGTAATATAGAAGTTACCATATCTAGCTTGTAATTAATTCATGAGTAAAAATTTGCTACTTTAAAAATCATATTTAGCTTAATTAATTTATAGAGAGAAAAAATATTTTGAAATAATAATAATTAATGTCTTTGCATTCAAACTTGATGACCAACTTATCTCTGCTACACATGGTTTGTTTAATATAATTTATCATGTCGATTTAATTTGTAAACTATTAGATTTGATCAAGATTATTCAGAGCGCATTCGAAAAATAGAATTCTCACATCATTAAAAAAAAAATCTGCATGGGGCCACTACAAAAAAAAAGTATATTTGTAACGGAATTTCGCCCTAAAGATCACGTAGCTAATGTAATTCCATCATTAATTCCGTCTCTAATATTATTGGTAACGGAAAAAGTGGATTTAAAAACAAAAAAATTTCGTTACAAAAATGATATTTTCTTATAGTGAGCTATGACCTAAGTTCGATCTTGGGAGCATGCTGACATGGAATTAAAAAAAAAAAAAAAACCCTTAACAATTTTCAAACAATGTCATTTTAGAACGTATTTGGCAATTAACCATTGAATTAGCTGTTAGATTTTTATTTTTATTTTTTTTTAAATCTATTAAGAAGAATAATTAACTGTTGGTTGATTTGAGAAATAAAGGTTAAGTTAGATAATATGTAGTGTGTACGTAGCTCCACGTTTCCACTGTTACTGTCCACCCATTTCTACCTTATTGGGACCATAATTCACAGTACAACTTAAGTATATGTTTTCGGCCTAATTTTCAGGGTATTAGATTTGGTCGGGAGTTTTACCGTTGCGCACTTTCGGGTAGCAGCTGTGGGTTCCCACGTTATAAAACAAAATATTTGTAATAATTGACAAAAGTTATGCTATTACTGGAACCCCAATTGCCATTCTTGAATTTGGAATTATTATGAGAATATATATTACATGCTCCATTTATTTTTAAAAAATTAAAACATATATTCTAAGTGTACTAAATAAAAAAATTAGTTCTTATGAATATATAAGAATAGATATATATCTTTTCAGGATCATCACAAGGCATAATATATATCTCAAAGAAATGAATAATTGATCAAATTGGAAAAGGCATATTAAAGTTCGAAACAAAAGTCTGTTTGATTTAAGTTTTGAAATTGAGTTTTTATATTCGAACTCATGGTCACAATTTCACTCCGTGCACCGCCAAGCCAGCACCTCATTATCTAAAATTTGGTAGATATGAAATTGGATGTGAGTTGGCAATATAAAGTATTATATACTTCCTCAGACTTACATAAAATATCAAATTTTTTTTTCGTTTAACATAATTTATTTATTTTTTAAAAATAATTATATATTTTAATCATATTTTTAAATGTGGATAAAAAATATTTGATTTTTTAAGAGAGATACAAATAATTAAAATTCAATCCAATCATTAAAAAAATAAATTAATTTATACTATAAATATATAAATATACACAAATAATAGTACTATTATATTCTTATTTTTTTACTTAAAAAAGAAAGCTATTTTATTACAATTCTACGTCAACACAATTATTATTTATCAAATTAATATACGTCAAACCTCTCAAAACTCAAACCAAACCTATAAATTTAAAACAACACAAAAACTTAAACTTATCTTAAAATTGAAATCCAATACATTCAAATTCAAATTCTTCGAGCTCCTTAAAAAAACCACACCCTAAATTCTTAATACTTTGAATAGAAAATATCATTAAATATGATATTTTTTTAATATATATATATATTAAGGGTGTATTTGTTTCAAGAATTTTGGTGGATTTTAGTATTCACACTTTTTTTTTTCTAAAAAAAAATATCAAATTAAATATTTATTTTTTATTTTTTATATTATATTAAAAATTAATTTTATATTCAAAATATTACATGAATCCATATATATTTATATCAAACTATACAACTATTTTAATTCAAATAATTTACTATCAAATCTCAATCCAAAATGCAAAACCCGAACAAACACACCCAAAATAGAATATGCAATATATAATAATATAATATAGTGGTGAGTATATATAATATATGTATATGTGTGTACGGGTGTGTGTTTATATGTATATAAATATATATGTATAAGTAATTATTATATTGTATGTATGTAGAAGTAGATAATTAATGCAAAGAGAGATAGGAGAAATGACTGTGAATTGTATTTTCATCACCTAAGGCATACATATATATATATATATAGACGTGTGAGTCGGTAAATGAATGATTGTAAAGCATTCATATTCTGTCGACGTAGGTGCTGCGTGGTTTATAACACTCTCCATTGGATGCTTTATACAAAGAATGTGCCTCGTTAAAACCTTATTATGAAAAAACCATGTGGGAAAAAATCATTGTGAAGGAAAAAGAGTACAACATTCTTGTATTAATGCGCTCCCCCTGTTATAGACTTTATTTGATATCTTTCATCCGACGCATTTCAATTTCTTGCACTAGTTTGTTGAATGTTGCAGTTGGTAGCGCCTTCGTAAACAAATCGGCAAAATTTTCAGATGATCGAATTTGTTGCACATTAATTTTACCACTTTTATGAAGATCGTGAGTGAAAAAGAACTTTGGAGATATGTGCTTTGTTCAATCGCCTTTAATATATCCTCCCTTTAATTGAGCTATACAAGTTGCATTGTCTTCGAATAATACTGTAGGAGGTAATATATCATCAGAAATCAAGCCACAATTTTTCTGAATATGGTGAGTCATAGACCTTAACCAAACGCATTCACGACTGGCTTCGTGAATAGCTAAAACCTCAGCATGGTTTGAAGAAGTAGTTGTTATTGTCTGTTTAGTAGATCTCCAAGAGATTGCGGTTACACCACAAGTAAATAAATAACCAGTTTGAGATTTTTCTTTGTGTGGATCAGAAAGATAACCAGCATCAGCATAACCAATTAATTCATTTCAAGATTCGCTCGAATAAAATAGACCGAGGTCATGAGTCCCCTGAAGATAACGAAAAATGTGTTTGATACCATTCCAATGGCGCTTTGTGGGGGATGCGCAAAACCTGGCCAGTAGATTTACTGAAAAAGATATATCTGGCCTGATACAATTTGCAAGGTACATTAATGCGTCAATAGCGCTGAGATATGGTACCTCGGAGCCAAGTATTTCTTCATTTTCTTCTTGGCCTAAATAGATCTTTACTAGGATCAAGGGATCTGACCACCATTGGTGTACTCAGATAGTGAGATTTATCCATATAAAATTGCTTTAATACCTTTTGGGTATATGTAGATTGATGGATAAATATTCCATTATTAACATGATCCACTTGTAATTCCATACAATATTTTGTCTTTCCAAAATTTTTGATCTCAAATTCTTTCTTTAGATATTCAACTGCAGTTTGGATCTCTTCAGGAGTTCCAATTAAATTGAGATCATCAACGTATATTGAAATAATGAAAAAATTTGATCCATTTTTCTTTATAAAGATGCATGGACATATTGGATTATTAGTATAACCTTCTTTTATTAAACAGTCACTGAGACGGTTATACCACATTCGCCCTGATTGTTTAAGTCCATACAATGACTTTTTCAATTTTTATGCTTAAGACATATTGAATCCCTCAGGAACTTTCATATAAATATCAGTATCCAAGGAGCCATAAAGATATGCAGTAACTACGTCTAAAAGACGCATATCGAGCTTTTCTCGCACTGCTAGGCTCACAAGGTATCTAAATGTTATTCCATCAACAAATTGAGAGTACGTTTCATCAAAATCTACTTCAGGCCTTTGTGAGAATCCCTGAGCTACAAGACGGGCTTTATATCTCACAATTTCATTATGCTCATTTCTTTTTCGTACAAACACCCATTTGTATCCAACTGGTTTTATACCATCCGGTTTTTGAACAATTGGTCCGAAGACCTTCCTTTTATTTAATGAGTCAAGCTCTGATTAAATCGCATTTTCCCATTTTTGCCAGTAATTTCTTTGCCGACATTCATTAACCGATTTTGGCTCTGGATCCTCGTTTTCTTCCATTATATCAAGTGCTAAACTGTATGTGAAGGCATTATCAATAATTGCCTTTTTACGGTTCCAATATTTTCTTGAAGTAACATAGTTGATTAAGTTTTCAATAATCTCATCATGTTCTTCAAGATCGTGCTCTTCTGGAGCAATTACTTCAAGGTTGACTTCCTCATTAGTTGAGGTTTATAAATGTCATTCCTAATATTTTTATAATTATCATCATTACTTCCTCTTTTCTTTCGAGGATGCTTATCTTTGGAACCGAGTGGTCTACCACGCTTTGAGCGTGTCGCTGATTCATTAGCACTTGCAATTTGTCCATCAGGGACAATTATTTTAGCCGGAGTATTAGCAGCTTGGATATATGATCGAGTGACTTTGCTTGAGTCATTGAATGCATTCGGTAACTGATTTGCAATATTTTGCAAATGTATAATACGTTGAACTTCTAGTTCACACTGCTTTGTACGAGGATCACAAAAATTCAATGGAATTTTCCAATTAATATCCCTTTTCGGTTCATTTTTGTCTACCCATAATGTCGGAAAATATGATTCATCAAAATGACAATCTGCAAATCTTGCAGTGAATAAATCACCCGTCATAGGTTCAAGATATTTTATAATTGACGGCGATTCATATCCGACATAAATATCCAATCTACGTTGAGGACCCATTTTTGTACATTTAGGGTGTGAAATAGGAACATAAACAGCACACCAAAAAATACGTAGATGAGATATATTTGGTTTGTGACCAAATACTAACTGCATCGGGGAGTAGCTATGATAGCTTGTCGGCCTCATTCTTATAAGTGTTCCTGCATGTAAGATTGCATACCCCCAAGCT